ATGAATGAATATGGGAATGATCAGTACTGATCACTTACTGTGCTCATTAAGGAAAGTTAGAGGTTGGTAAACATAAGAGACATGTTTACCAACAACTCCCCCATCCCACACTGTCCATTCTGAAATCTGATCCTTCCTCCTGCTGCTGTCCACCAGTCACTGAAACCTTCTGCTGTGGCTGCCACAATGTTCTCCATTCTGTGTCCCCAGACAATCTGCTGTCTCTGCTTATACAGACTGGGGGTCAGAGCAGCTTGGATTGGAGAGCAGGCATTGGGCTGTGCAGAGGAACATGGAGTGGATAAGAGTGCAGACACATATTGGGGAGCATCTGATAGGTGGGCACAGGGCATAGCAGTGAGCGGTGGTATCAGTGGCAATGCTCAGATTTCATTGCATGACTATGGTCAGCAGCTTGTAAGCCATTAATCTTACCTATACATTTATTCAGAGTCTGGGGGACCATTCTGTTATAAGTTAATGGTCACTGAAAAGACCATGAACTGATGGCAGAAGGGGAAATGCAGCCGACGTAAGTCATACTGACCTGGCTAGCTTGAAATGGTTCTGTTCTGCCATATGTTTTACAACAGCAGCAGCAGGGGAGGTAAACCACAAGCAATAGCTGTACAAATGAGAGTATTTTTAAACACGTGCAACAATTGTATCAACTGCACTTTTATCAAACTAAAAACAGAATGTCAGTATATAAAACAAAGGGGGCAATTGTTACCCAGAAAATGGGGGAGTAGACCAACTGTACTGCTTCCCCCCTGTCACTCAGCTCAGCAGCACTATTGGTCTCCTCCTCCGAGGATCTCCTTGCCTCCTCCTTTTCTATTTTGGCACATTTTCTGCATTTAAATAGCCACTGGCAGCATGCTCATATTTACCTGATTCTGATTACATTGCCACAATTGCTATGATTCCAGATTTTGCACTAGATCAGACACAGGTAACATCTACTTAGCATTTGATACTTTATCTTAACTATTCACCCGCACTTTAAAATATATTTTTATTATTTAATACAGATCCATTTTATTGTAGATTCCTTCTACTGTGTTCAAGTCCATGTTCCATTTTTCTAAGGTATGATTTATACACAGAATTTGTTTTACATTCGATTTCTTCTAATGCTGTGATACATAACAGCTATTATAACATTTTTGTTACCCACACATAGGAATCTCTGTTCTTTCATCTGTTCTTTTGTTTGATTTATGAGCAGCTTATTTGCAAGGCTTAATGGTTTGCTACATATTAGTTTTCATTCCATTATTCACATTTAGCTTATGGTATTTCCAAATATAGATTTTTGTATGGTAGATATAAAACTAGTGGTTTTATGGTTTATTCATTTTTTTTTCGTATAATAACTCTCTACACACAACAGTACATTTTATGTGATAATTTATTAAATATTTTTACCTATGGTTTGTTTTAAAATGGTATATACTGTAATTCTTCGTTTACAATATTTTTATTGAAATTTTTCTTCACAAAAGCTAGAGAGGAAAGTTTTAAGGAGCATTACAATATAGTGGTTCTTTCACTGTAATAATACAGACAGATAATGTAATGACATAATGAATCAGGTTTTATTTGTTAATAAAGAATCAGAAGGCACATTCCACTACATAGCACAATGTTGCAAATTTTTATTGAACGTGGAGGAAATCTCAAACACACATTGAACATTGGACTCCAATGCAATCCTAATAAACTCCAAGTAACCTACCACTTTAGGGCAATAACCCATGAGTGGAATATATTATGCTAGAAAAACTTAACACTTACAATATAGTAAAAAAAATAAAACAGATGAACCACGTAGACAGAAAGTATACCATACTGTTCTCTCAATTCGGGCTATCTCCCCCTCAAAGGGAAGTCACACCATAAACCGTGCAATTCTAAACATAATCCCTGAGATTATTGTAATGCAACAATTAATATAAAAAGGCAAGAGTGTCTAAAGAGAGGAGAGAAAAAAAAGGGAGGAAAAACAAAAGGTAGGAAAAGAAACAGAGAGAAGAATAGGGGAGGTAAAGGACCTCAGTTGCTAGTTATCCTCTGCACTTTCCTCACGCTGTCACAGCGTGAGGAAAGTACTGCCAATAACCATCAATTGTCAGCGGAGGGATTGGTACCGATCACAGGGCAGTGCCACACATCAGTGCCCAGCAGTGCCACCCACCTGTGCCCAGCAGTGCTGCCCAGCAGTGCCACCCATCAGTGCCCAGCAGTGCCTCCAGTCAGTGCCACCCATCAGTGCCGCCTATCAGTGCCACATATCAGTACCCATCATTGTTGCAAATCAGTGCAAGCTCATCAATGCCACCTATCAGTGCCTGGCAGGGCCTGTCAGTGCTGCCTATCAGTGCCCATCAGTGCTGCCTATCAGTGCAGCCTCATCAACGCACTAGTGAAGGAGAAAAATTATCTGTTTGTAAAATTTTATAATAGAAACAAAGAATTTTTTTTAAATTTTTGCTATATTTTTGTTTATAGCGCAAAAAAATAAAACACCCAGCGGTGACTACATACCACCAAAAGAAAGCTCTATTTGTGTGAAAAAAATGATAAAAATTTCATATGGGTACAGTGTTGCATGACCACGCAATTGTCACTCAAAGTGCGACAGCGCTGAAAGCTGAAAATTAGCCTGGGCAGGAAGGGGGTATAAGTGCCTTGTAGGCAAGTGGTTAATAAGATAATCCTAAAACAGGGAATCAAAAGCCTTATGGACATCTAAAGACAACAGCATTCCCTGACGATTCCCCCGTCCATCACCATCCAAATGTATCGCAAAGATAACATCTATGATCTCCTGGTTTGGTCTGATGCCTGGCGGTTAGGAACAAGTCCTGCTTGGTGGGGATGGATATGTTGGACAAGACAAGAATTCAGTCTAGATGCAAGCACCTTGGACAGGATTGTTAAGTCAGTGATTATCAAGGAAAGGGGCAATAAATAGGACAGTCCCCATGATCTTTCCCAGGTTTTGGTATGATGTGTATATAAGCCGCGTTCTCTAGAGGTGGGAGGTATGTACCCTGCTGGATTGCATTAAAAAAGGAGCACAATCAATATGTCTTGATATTTCCAGTAATAATGACCTGAAAAGCCATCAGGGACAGGTGTTTTAGAGGGATGTAAGTTCTGATGGCAAGTTTAATTTCTGGCTCCGAAAGTATATAATTCTTTATGATATTTTGTATCTATGTATGCATATATACACGTTTTTTTTTCATTTCTACTACTTATTTTGATTTTATGTCTGTTATGTAGCCCTGAGGGGGACGGTGTTGTGTTGCCCTTGAAACATATTGACTGTTGTTATGTAATGGTACTACAAACAGTTAAAGGCACTTTTATTATTATTATTATTATTATACAGTATTTATATTTATTATATACAGTATTTATATATTATTATTATAGAGTATTTATATAGCACCAACAGTTTCACTCAGCGCTGTACATTACAATGGGAGACAATACATGAGACAGTACAATAACAATACAATGCGATACACGAGGGGTTCGAGGGCTCTGCTCCTTGGAGCTTACAATCTTGGAGGGAGGGGATAGTAGTATGGGGAGGAATAGCTGTGGGGGATCAAGTGGTTGGAAGAGTGGAGGCGATCGGCAATTAGGGGGTGGGGGTAGGCTTCCCTGAAGAGGTGGGTTTTCAGGGTGCGCCTAAAGGAGAGGAGAGTAGGTGATAGTCTGATGGATTGGGGTAGGGAGTTCCATAGGATAAGTGATGCCCTGGAGAAGTCCTGGAGGCGGGCATGGGAGGAGGAGACCAGGGAACTAGAGAGAAGGAGTTCTTGTGAGGAGCGGAGAGTGCGTTTTGGGTGGTATTTGAATATTAGGTCGGTGATGTAGTTTGGGGCAGAGTTATGGACAGCTTTGTACGTCACTTTGAGCTCTTTTGTGGTTTTTGGGAAGTTGCACATTGCAAAGGAATTTCTCCAAAGCTTAGTGAATGAGGTGAAGCTCTGCTGACTTTGATTAGCCAATCATGCACAAGCAAAAATACTGTTTTTTTTAATTTTCTTTACATTGGATATTCTCTGTAAAGGTAAATTTCACCACATTCACTAAACTCTGAGGAAAATTCACTTGCAAACTGTTACTTCCCTTTCAAAGTGAGCAGCTTTGTTTGCCTTTAATGAATCACTCCCTTTAGCTTCTGTGAAAATAGAAACAGACAAAATGGTGTACATTTTTCAAAGTAATCCAAGGGAAACTGAAATAGATGCTGCCTTAAATGTGTAACATGAATACCATACAGTATAACCACTTGAGCTCTGGAAGGTTTTACCCTCTTCATGACCAGGGCATTTTTTTTGCTGTTCAGCACTGCGCTACTTTAAGTGGCAATTGTTGAAAAAAAAAGACCAAAGATATTTTCTGCTTTCTGTGATAAAACATATCCAATAAAATCAAATTTCGTCATAAATTTAGGCCATAATATATTCTGTTACGTCTCTGGTAAAAAAAAATCCCAATAAATGTATATACAATTCCATAACAGTACAAATTCCCCCCAAATGACCCCTTTTTGGAAAGTAGACAGTCTGAGGTATTTAGTAAGAGGCGTGGTGAGTTTTTTGAAGTTGTAATATTTTTCAAAATTTTTTTGAGAACAAAGTAATTGAATAAAAATTGTTTTGTTTTCGCATTTTCTTTTAACATACGGTCACCAGTGCAGTACAGTGTTATCATATGACTGATGTGTCGGTGATCAGTGATACTAACTGGTGACAGTATTAACCACTTGCCTACTGGGCACTTATACCCCCTTCCTGCCCAGGCCAGTTTTCAGCTTTCAGCGCTGTCGCACTTTGAATGACAATTGCGCGGTCATGCAACACTGTACCCATATGAAATTTTTATAATTTTTTTGAGACAGAGCTTTCTTTTGCTAAACAAACCAAAAACAACTGAAAATTTTGAAAAAAAAAAACTTTTTTTCTTAGTTTTTGTTATAACATTTTGTAAATAAGTGATTTTTTTTTCCTTCACTGATGTGCGCTAATGAGGCTGCAGTGATGGGCACTGATAGGCTGCACTGATGGGCACTGATGAGGAGGTACTAGTAGGTGGCACTGATGGGCATTGACAGGCATCACTGATGGGCACTGAAAGGCAGCATTCATATATGGCACTGATAGGTGGAACTGATAGGTGGCACTGATAGGCAGCACGGACTGGTACTGATAGGCTGCTCTGACTGGCACTGACTGGCTCTGTTAGGCGGCACTGATAGGCAGCATTGACGGGCACTGATAGGCGGCACTGACTGGCACTTATTGGCAGCACTGATAGGTGGCACTGACTGGCATTGATAGGTGGCACTGACTGGCACTGACACGTGACACTGAAAGGCAGCTCAGATGGCACTGAAATGTGGCATTGATGTGCACTGGTAGGTACTGATATGATGTGCACTGGTAGGCACTGATGGGCACTGGCAGGAGGCATTAATGAGCACTGACAGCTGGCATTGATGGGCACTGACAGGTGGCACTGCTGGGGCTACACTGATCATCAGGGCACACTGATCATCAGTGCCCTGATGATCAGTGTACATGTCCCCTCCGAGAAATGCCAATTACCAGCTCTCCTCTCCTCTCGAGCTGTCAGCGTGACAGCTCGTGAAGAGAGAAATGCCGATTACCAGCATTTCCCTATTTACATGTGATCAGCTGTGATTGGACACAGCTGATCACATGACCGAGCCGACATCTTCGGCTCTTTCCTTTGATCGATGATCCGCTGTGTCCAAGGGACACAGCGCTCCACCGATCGCCATGCTGCGCGATCCCAGAGCCGCACACGTGCGGTTAGTGTGGGAGGACGTCATATTTTTTTTTTCACTTTGCTGTTACAATGAAGATCATTGTAACAGCAAAGGTTTCAGCTGTCATGAATGGTTTAACTAGTCATACCAGCTGTGATCACTAGTGGTCTGTGATTGGCTACAACAAATCACATGGTACATGTTATGAATACTGTGATTGGCCCAGGTACCATGTGATAGCTGTGGGCCAATAACAGCTAGGTCAACACAGCTGTTATGAATATATTTATTCATAAAATCTTTGTTGACATTGTGATTATGTGATCACATAGCAATCACATGATCACTGGTCCCTGAGTACCCGGATCCGCATTCCGCTTTGTCTAGTGGACACAGCAGTCGCAGGAGGGGCTGCATGCACCTGTAGGCTCACAGCACCCCCCTTAATCCGAGCAGGCAGAATAACGTACATGTATGTGATTTTGCTTGCAGGTGCCGACCTGCCGCAGTATATGTATTGTGGTTGGTCAGCAAGTGGACCAAACAAAGGAGAAAGCACATACAAGTGGTTATTACTCTCGCCAATATCAATAAATCACCAATATACAGTATCAACAACACAAAAATCCCACAAACAAAGCAAACTCTTTTCAGATATATAACAAGTAACATTTACAATCAGTGTCAGACCTAATACAAGTCCTTTTAATCTTGGTTCACTACCACTCTTGTCCAAAAGTACATCTGTGCTTTCCAACCAACCACCTATGGAAAGCAGCTCACCATTATGGATGATATGAACTCTCTTTCTGGGAAGGTAAAAAAGCATCTGAAATCATCAACAGGCGATTAGGAACTCCTCTGTCACCTTGATTAATTTAGAAATCCTAAGAGTTTAATACTACAATCGGTCCATCTACTCTGAAGGTGGGCAAAGGATTAGAAAACAGGCACAGCCTGCAGTATATAAGTCTATCCCCTGCCAACATTCAGTAAAGGAAAACTCTTGAGTAAGAGTATGTCTCCAGAGGTCCAAAACCACCTTCGGTAGTAAACTCATTTACAAAATTTAACAATTTCATATTGGATAATAATTACTCTTACGTTTGACATCCATTGCTTCATCATGTAATTAGCAATAAAGAAAACAAAATCAATGCTATAGATAAAAACATTTATATGGCACATAGATTTAGAATATTTTTGTGAGTTCAAGATTGCAATGAACTGATACTACATAGGGTATTAAAAGTCAGACTTGGTGATCACAACAGTCTACGCACCACATCAGTTTCCTTCAGGACACATCTGACTACGATGTTATGTTGTGGTAAGTGTACTACTTTACATAATCTATATGCTTTAACCGCTTCCCTACTGCACTATAGCAGAACTACTGCAACAGGGCAGCAGGGCTGCGTAAAATCACGTATATATATATATATATATATATATATACATATGCACATATACGTGATTTTGTATTTCCGGCTACAGCTGTCAAATGGTGGCTACAGCTGTCGATCACCGGGTCCCGGCCCGTGATTCGCCTGCAGCACCTGGCCAAAGTCAAGGAACACTGACGGGGGAGAGGTCTGTATGTAAATAATATAGATCTCTCCCCTGTCAGCTCCAGCATGCTGCTTTGTATAATACAAAGCAGCATGCTTACACAGTAAAACACAGCACACAGTAAACCACACTCAACACACAGTTAACCCTTTGATGGCCCCAGATGTTAACCCCTTCCTGCCTAGTGTCATTAGTTTTATTAGCACTGATCACTGTATTAGTGTCACTGGGGATGTCAGTGACAGTCAGCCCCCCCCCCCCCCCCCCAGTGTCAGAATGCCCACCTCAGTACCGCTATAAGTCGCTGATCACCGCCATTGCTAGTATTAAAAAAAATTAAAAAATAAAAATTCCAGTATATATACTGCCATTTGTAGATGCTATAACCTTCACGTAAACCAATTAATTTATATGTATTGGGATTTTTTTTTAGCAAAGAATACATTTTGGCCTAAATTTATGAAGAAATTTGATTTTTAGAAAATTTTTACTGGATATGTTTTAGAGAGCAAAACGTCAAAAATATTGTTTTTTTTTCAAAATTGTTGGTATTTTTTTGTTTATAGCACAGAAAAATAAAAAAACTCACAGGTGATCAAATACCACCGAAAGAAAGCTCCATTTGTGGGAAAAAAAGGACATAATTTAATTGCTGTGCAGCATTGCATGACCGCTCAATTGTAAGTTAAAGTAATGCAGTGCCATATTACCAAAAATGGCCTGGTCAGAAAGAGGGGTAAATCCTCTGGAGAGCAAGTGGTTAAACTGAGAAATTGCATGCACTTGGTGTACCAAAACAAAATCAGAACAGCAGCATGCTAGTGGTCTGAATACTAGAGTGTAAACATACAAATAAACCTAATGTTATATATATATATATTAGATAATACGTATAGTTACTTTATATTGATGTGGAGAGTAGAGACCTGTAATGTTCGCTCTTCTGGTCATGTACGGATACTACAAAGAGTATTAAATGTCATACTCTGTCATCACAGCAAGCCAAGCACGTAAGTACATTGGGTTCCTTCAGGACAATCTCTGACTATGATGCTGTGTTATGATGAGTGTATTCTACTCATTTACATGTGCAGGCATTTTATGTTAATATGAAATTTAGAAGCCTGTTATTACACCCTTATTGCAGTGTACAGATATTACAAAGGGTATTAAAAGTCAGATTCTGCAAACATATTAGTCCATATACATAAGCACAGGGCACCATCAGGGCAACTCTGACTATAATGTGCTGTCATTTTGTTATAAATGTACTACACCTGTTTATGTGTACTGTTTCTTAATCTGAAATATAGAAGCCTGTAATGAGTCACACTCCCTAATTTATATGTAGCAGGAATTTCCTTTGCTAACATTAACAGTGAATGAATAAACATTATGTACGCACAACTCACAAGGTTTTTTTTAGTAAAGTGATACTAATGTAGAAAATCTGCACACGACATATAACACACATTGTCTGCTACTGACATTGAAGAGTGGGTAGTGTTTTCAGAGATTCTTTGCATCACTCCATTGCATAAGGTTCCAGATAAAATAATAAAATATAAAATTCACTGCTGCAAGGGGAGGAATGACAACTCATGGGGCCCCCTGGCGATATGGGATCATGGGGTCCCTGTGCCCTCGCCCACACCCAAAAAAGCCTATGAAAATGCCAATGAAAGGTACCAGGGGCAGTGCCCGAATGCTCGAATGGTCAGTCCACCCCTGACTGCTGCTCAACTTTACAATTCTGTTTTCAAGAGAATGATAATTTCACTTGGATAGGTTCTAAACATATTTACAGAGGAAAGAAGCCCATGACATCAAATGGTATGAACAATTGGTGTGCGCTCATCTGATGTTACAAGCCACAGTCAGGGGACTTTAATAAAGCAGTAATGACACTTTATGGCAGTAGTTCCCTACCAAGTGAACTACCTGTGCCCAGGGGCGGACTGACAACTTATGGGGCCCCCGGGCAATAGGGGATCATGGGGCCCCTGTGTCCTTGTCCAAACTCAAAAAAGCCTATGAAAAAGGTATCAGGGGCATCTCATGGGGCCCCCTACTGACCCTGGGCCCTCGGGCAGTGCCTAGTTTTCAAATGGTCAGTCCACCCCTGCCTGTGCCTAATTCAGGCAAGCATTTGCACCAGTTTTGGTCAAATTTCCAACATGTGTGCATGTTTAATATTCTGTGTATAGCTTTACAGAACAGACAGTGCACAGTCCACATGTGTTTTTCTGCTGCTTCTCTGCTAACAGGAAATAGGAACTTTGTTACAGAGAAAAGACATAGAGTTTATCAAAGATGCAGCTACAAACTTATAAACACTGCCATCTACTGCTTAAAGACTATATCTTTACTGAATGCTGCTACAGTACAGTAGTTGTTGCACAAAAATACATGAAAAATGTATTCCAACACCCCCACTCAACAACTACTCCTTATATTAGTCCCATCAATTTCAGATCCCAGTTCTATAAATCTATTTCTTGTAAGCGGCTTTGATCCACTTTTGTTTCTCATGGGTTGGAAGTCTTTGCATCTAATCCCATGAATTTGGCTCTGGTTTTAATGCTACTTGAGCAACACAGAACAGACGTTTGGTTGGGATGCCTTTGTTGCTTCTGGTGGATTTCCTGATTGAAGCCTGGTTTCTTATTTTACAGTATTTGGATTATCTGCATTGATTTATATTTCTGTGTCACTTCAATGATTATCTTCATATAATACATGTGGAATTTCCTTCAGTTTGAAGCTTTTGTGTTCACAGCATCCTAAAAGTACACATTCCTTTGCGCAAGCATCCTATTTTGTATATTTTTCTTTTGGGATGTGCACATAGGCTTTACTTCCAAAAATGTTTAGATGCTTTAAATTTGGGGTTTTTCCATTCTACAGTTCATATGGAGTTTTCTCTCTGATTTTCCTGGTAACTGATTTTGGAGATAAACAAAAAGAGAAAATGCCATCATATAGGGTGTAACCACCCATCAAAGGGGTCTCTCTGACTCACCCTATATTGGGGTGTGGATTAAAACCAAATATAAGCATGTTAGAAAAAGTTAGCAGCTGACTAGAGCAAACTGCAAAAAAGAACGGTATTTTAAATCCAATACAGAGTAATCAAAAAACATCAATAGTAGATGCAAGTAATTTCTTTATTATGATCATTAGGATCTTCTGAAGGGGTGGGCGTATGACATGGTGAGCACTACAGTCTATCAAAAAAATAAAAACAGTGAGTTAAAAACAAAAACAAAAGAACTTCCTGCGTATACACTTAG